AAGTTGTAATTTTACAAGATTTAAATTTTTATATTTAGAGATTAAAGTAAAATATTGAAGTTGTAACATTAACAGCTCAATTTTTTTTAAGATTAAGAGAATAGTTGTAACATTGAGATTGAAGCTGTAATCCAACCAAATTAAAGCGTCATTACCAGAATAAAATCGTAATATCCTGAGTTTATAGTCATAAAACTACAAGAATAAAGATGTTATGTAATGAGATCAAATTCATATTACGAGATTAAAATTGTAACGATATGATTTTAGAGTTGTAAGATGTAGAGAATAAAGTCAAAACATGGATGCCTCCAGTAAAGCACATTCAAATGAAAATTATTCTGAATTAAAAACACTGATCATTTATTGAACAGGATGGAATAATTTTATATTTAAAGAAATTTCAGAAGTTTGAATTCTGAATATGACCCGGACTTTCCCTTTCATTTGGAAAAGTCTCAATATCACAAGATTAAAGCTGTAATCCAACCAGAATAAAGTGTATTTACTAAAATAAACTTTTATTGAGAGTATTGTCATAAATTACAAGAATAAAGATGTTATGTAATGCGATCAATGCCATATTAAAAAATTTAAAAAGTAGCCTACTGTGATCTAACCTCTTAGAAAAAGGCTGCTGATGTTGGTTGATCACCCTGTCAACAATTTTATTTTATTAGAATGATTTGTCTCATTTCGACGTTAATATTATAGTTTATTCTCATAATATTACAACTTTAGTTTCATAGCATTACCACTTTGGTCTTGGCCTGTAATATTCTGTTATATGCAATAGCGCAGTGTTTCCTGTTGCTTTGTGGATGCAGAACCACAGCTCTAGTGCCCCTAGTGGCTAAAAGTTTGTGGCTTTGAATAACCAAAGATAAGAAAAGTGGATCTGCTGATAACTTTGACCGTCTAGGCTACTGAACATGGAGCGCATATGTCGGACTTGATCCTTGGCAGGAGACCCGCCTCTGGTTCTGCCGCGGCCTTCAGCACGCCGCCGCGGCAGCTTCAATAACTGCCTTCTGCTTATTAGCATCATTTCCTCCCTTTTCACATTTTCCTCTTGTCGGTGTTGTTGGATTAAAGTTGGAGCTGTTTGGTGCTATTAGCGATATTAGCAGCATGGTTATTAAAGGAGAGGTCCGGTCAGCGAGGAATAATCAATGGGTCATTATTAGTTGTGCGCTGATGCCATTTTTTGGCCCCGATACCCGGCTGTGCTTCATCTGTTTGAATTTGATGTGTTT